CTGCCGCGCCCCCCGCCCCCCGCCGGTGCCAGCACCCACCTGACTCTGCGAACGTGATGATCTCCGAGGTCTGCTCCATGAGTTCATTCATTTCTGCCCTCCTTCCGATGTCGTCCTCTATCTCCACGTACCCGTCCTCCCCCACCTTGCCCACATGGAGCTTGCGGATGGCGTTGAGAAGCGCCGCCTTGGGCACCGGCTGGGTGACCTCGGGCCTCTTCTTCAGGTGCAGCATGTTGAGGATGTGCTTTTTGACGGCCTCCACCATGTCGGGCTCGGAGTTGGGGGCGTCCTTGGGGAGGGCGGCCAGCGCGCAGGACGGACAGGCGGGGGCTGCGCCGTGCCCCTCGGGTCCCGGGGTGGGCGAGCCCCTCAGTGCCAGCCAGCAGCTCGCCAGCAGAAGTCCCCGCAGCCACAGCAAGGGCATCCTGGCAGCAAAAGTGGTCGCGATTGCCTTGTTTAAAGGCCCTGCTTTTTCCTCCCCCTCGCGCACAGGTTTGGTTTTTCTGCTTGTTGGGTTGCTTTTTGTGGGGGGTCAGGGTTTGTTTTTTCCCCCTCTCCTCTTCAGCAATTTCTCTGGAACAAGAACAAAAAGTTTTCTGTGAAGTTTTGTTTGCAGGTTCCCTCTCTGAATGCAGTCAGTGCTGTAGGTTTGTGGCTGTCAGGAAGGAGAGTTCCGACTGTCTCCAGTAAGAGGGAAGGAAGGAGGAAGGGAGACAGGGCAGGGAGGGAGGGACGGAGGGAGACGAGACAGAGGGAGAGAGAGAGAGAGAGAGAGAAGTAGAGAGAGAGAGAGGGAGAGGGAGAGAGAGAGAGACAGAGGGAGAGAGAGAGAGAGAGAGAGAAGTAGAGAGAGAGAGAGGGAGAGGGAGAGAGAGAGAGACAGAGGGAGAGAGAGAGAGAGAGAGAGAAGTAGAGAGAGAGAGAGGGAGAGGGAGAGAGAGAGAGACAGAGGGAGAGAGAGAGAGAGAGAGAGAAGTAGGGGGAGAGAGAGGGAGAGGGAGAGAGAGAGAGACAGAGGGAGAGAGAGAGAGAGAAGTAGAGACAGAGAGAGGGGTGGAGAGAGAGAAAGAGGGGAGAGGGGGAAGAGACAGAGAGAGACAGAGAGAGAAAGAGGGAGAGAGAGACAGAGGGGAGAGGGGGGAGAGAGAGAGGGAGACGGAGAGAGAGACAGAAAGAGACAGAGGAGAGAGACAGAGGAGAGGGGGGAGAGAGGGAGAGAGAGAGAGACAGAGGGAGAGAGAGAGAGAGAAGTAGAGACAGAGAGAGGGGTGGAGAGAGAGAAAGAGGGGAGAGGGGGACAGAGGGGAGAGGGGGGAGAGAGAGAGGGAGACGGAGAGAGAGACAGAAAGAGACAGAGGAGAGAGACAGAGGAGAGGGGGGAGAGAGGGAGAGAGAGAGAGACAGAGGGAGAGAGAGAGAGAGAAGTA